TGGAAGAGAAGGGGGAGGAAGAGGAAGTAGAAGAGGACGAGGAGGAGGTAGAGGAGGAAGAGGGGGCCGCGAAGCAGAAGAGGAGGAGGGAAGCATGGAGACGATGAGGAGGAGGAGGAGGAGGGGGAGGAGGGGGAGGAGGGGGAGGAGGAGGAGGAAAAGAGCAACTGTTGCAGGGCTGGCTGAAGAAGCAGCTGCAGCAACTGTTGTAGGGCTGGTTGCAGATGGAGCAGCAGCAGCAGTTCCCTTAGCCTCTGTTGCAGCAGTGCCTGCAGCAGAGAGAGAGAGAGAGAGAGAGAGAGAGAGAGAGAGAGAGAGAGAGAGAGAGAGAGAGAGAGAGAGAGAGAGAGAGAGAGAGAGGTGACTGAGGGGAAGTTGGAGACTTTGACTTCCTGTCAGAAATAGAGTCTTCCACTACTGGCCCTCGCCGGAGTCTTTGCAGGATGCCAGGAGCCTTCTGCATCCGTTCATTGCTTTTCATCTTCACATACCACACATGCAAGTCCGTATCTGTTCTTTGCTTTTTGCAGACTGGGCGTTGAGTGACAGCCAACTTTCTTTTCTTTCATTTGGACCATTTCTCTATTTATGCGTGTCATCCTTGAAAGCGCAGGGGCCATGCTTATCTTCTCTGTACTGTTCCAATTTCTAACGGATGTCCCAAAGGACGCCAAGTGGAACTTTCTTTTCTGTTTGGGGGTTGTTTCTTTTTTTTTTTTTTGTTTCCCTGTTTTCAAAAAAATTGGGAACTTTTTCTTTCTCCTGGGAGGCTGTCACTTAGGTTCTTGAGCATGTCTACCGTGGAGTGCCAATTTGCCAAATCCTTGTTGCTGGGCAAACTCCCACAGCTCACCAAATTGACACCAATCAATTGAAAGTATTTTCACTATATTTGCTTAAATACACCAGCCTCAGTGCTAATTTTCGCCTGGAGACCCTGCCGCATTGACCACGTTCATTTGGGCTGATCAAACATTTTGAAAAATGTATGGAGACCACAACCACGTCCACATTCATGTAGAGTGCCATGCCGTGGAGTGTGGCCCCAGGTTTCACTTTTCATAACTAGCTTAGCGCCCACGGTGTGGGCAGCGTGGGCGGTGCGGGCTACGCCGGCAGAAAAAAACATAAGAAAGATCAGGTGAAGTACTCATGCAGACTCAAATTCACATATAGAGCACAACACGGGCAAGATGCACTCAAAACAGGCTCTAAAGTAACTTAAACAGTCTGGCCACAAATAGACTTCAAAGCAGTGCCAGACCTGTGAACGTGACGGGCAGCGTGACCGGCCGGTCACGGGGCCATGTACTACCCCATGACTTAAAAAAAAAAAGACAGAACGGGAATCTGTGTGATTAAAAAAATTAAATATTTGGGGCGTGGAGGTTGGGAGGGGTTGGCGCAGGGCCCTGGGCCAATGAATGATGGAGGGGATCTGGTCGGTGCTTTAGTGCACCACCAAACCGAAACGAGCGGGTGGCACAGGGCCTACCCGAGACCGAGGACCTACGTTTTTTGAAATGTTTCCTATGGCCGCCTTTTTTTTTTTTTTTTCTTTTTTTTTTTGAAGGAGGGCCCAGTGCCCAAGGCTGATATTACCAATAAGAGGAATGAGGCCGGGGTCCTCACAGTCTGCCCCGAGAAACAAAACAGAACTTGCTGAGAACCAAGCTCAGCGTCCCTCATGTGGTGACTATGATGATGATGATCCTGATGATGATGATGATACTACTGAAGATGATGCTGATGGAGATACAAAATTGTATTAACTCTTGTAAGCTATGCTATGACGCCTTGCCTTTGCCATCTCATCAATTTTTTAATATGCCATCTCATCAATTTTTTAATATTTTTTTTGAAGCCGGCAAAACACCCTCAGAATGGCCCAGAAGGCCCCACAGCCCAACGAATGTTACACCTAACACAGGCGAAATCATTTTTTTTTTCTTCATATTAGTTCATAAATAGGAAAAAAAACAAATTTCTATCGGAAAAAATAAATAAAACAAATATGGGCAGCTGCGCATGGACTCCATTCACACAACTGTGCAAACCTGCCCCCCCTTTACCAGCCAAAAAAAAAGAAAAAAAGGTTCCCACTCTGCTTGAACTCCGTGAGCTCCAACTGGTCACCTTTTCCGTGACCGGCCCCCGACCCCGTGAACGGTGAACGGGGGTACGGAACTGCTTCAAAGAATCTCTGAACAATTTTTTTTTGATTTGGACTCAATGACAGACTCAGAACAGACTGACACAAACCCAGAAGAGAGGGAAAAAGAGAGCGACAAAGGGAGGCAGAGAGAGAGAGAGAGAGAGAGAGAGAGAGAGAGAGAGAGAGAGAGAGAGAGAGAGAGAGAGAGAGAGAGAGAGAGAGAGTTGTGCTCTATGTCCATTTGAGTTTGTGTGAGTACNAGAGAGAGAGAGAGAGAGAGAGAGAGAGAGAGAGAGAGAGAGAGAGAATGTTGTGCTCTATGTCCATTTGAGTTTGTGTGAGTACTTTCACTGATCTTTGCCGCGCATCGCCTGCACGGCGGGAGCTAGTACTTCATTAAGTTCATTATAGTTTCAGGGGGAACCCCGTCGCAGCCCTATCCGTGCTGAAGCCTCCAACGAGGCAACATGCCGGAGCTGCACCCACCAGAGCAGCTACCTCAGCAACCAAGGCAATACAATTATTACAATACAGCCCAGCGCAGAGCCCGTCAATTCTTAACCACTGTGACTATAGAAATTCCTCGTCATCCAACAGGACCAAATAGCCAAGGACAAAAAACATCCGATATATCCCAATATCGATCTCGAAAAGCATCTGTGATGGCACACTCAGACACAATCAGCCCGTTTTCATCACCTGCTTCTGAAATGAAACAAGACCAAACTCTTGCCTGCTCAGGCCCTTAAAAAGATGCCGGCTCAAAGGTTCAACGTGTCTCTCCCTTTGCCCCCCCCCATCCCTCCAAAAGGGAATTAAGAAAAACCCCTGAGGCACAGGTGTCTAACCACAGGGATAAAAAAGCACCCTCCAGCACCCTACTTATGCTTCGTCAAACAAGCTAAAGCTAGCCACACACGCACACACACACGGACACCCACACGCACACCCACATGCACACCCACACTCATGCGCACCCACGCGCACCCACGCGCACCCACGCGCACCCACGTGCACCCATGCACACGCGCACACACACGCACACACACGCACACACACGCGCACACGTGCACACGTGCACACACACGCCCACACGCCCACACGCCCACACGCCCACGCGCCCACGCGCGCGCTCGCAGGTACACACGCAAAGATCCACCTTTCACTTTCTGACTCGCAAAGAAGGCTTGTACACGGTATGTTCTGCACTGACGTCACTAAAACAAACATGAATCGAAAGTGTATACACCGGAAACACAATGCTTGATCATTCAGGCAAACAGTACTCATATGAGCATTCGCAATTCTGATCTCTCCTGCTGAAGGTGTAGGTGCTGGACGAAACCTACCACCATCTCAATCGCTGTATTTGAAGTCGAAGTTCAGTACAACCGGGCTGCGTATTCTTGTCAACATGGTAGTCAGTCGTTGGCGAAGGTCCGGCACATATGAAAAGATCCCTTAGATCGAAAGAAAACCGTCGAGGAGTTTTCGACCTTTTAGCTGGCCGAGAAGTTTTCAAGTTAGTTGGAGGAACAACTGAGTATCCGTCTCCATCTTGAGGACCCGCGGGTGGGGCTCTCTCTGTTCCGGAGGTCCCCTCGTTCCCGTCGAATTGCAGCTGATCAACGGGTTGCTCGCGTGGGAGGGGATTGGGGAAGTGTGGGGCATGCTTGACGTACGCCCAACCTCTCACTTTGGATGTCCGGACTAGGACCTCGCAGTACCTGAAGTCGCGGTCGAGGGCTCTCTCTTCCGACTCCGCCACCGCCCTGCTGATCCTCTGTCCGTTGATTCGAAGCCGATACAGCCTCTCCAAGAGGCGCTGGCTACCCTCTGCAGAGAGCATTGCATCGTCCATCAAGTCGGAGCTATTGGTGGCTGTTAATGCGTCGGAGAGGATCCTTGCTTCGTTCTCGTATGTCTCCTCCAGCTGCTGCAGCCGCTGCAGTCGTTCCACTGCATCGCTATGGTCCTCCTGTTTCTCCTCCGCCTCTCCATATCCGGATTGATCATCGCTCTTCGCCTGGTGGATGAGATGACTCAAGTACTCCAAGAGCGCGTCGTTGTACGGCAGGATGGCATGGCGTCCCAGGAACACAGCGAACTGCCTGCTGGCCGTCGACACATCTCTTCTCTCCTGATCCAGCTCTTTGGCCCTCTCTTGCAGCTCGCTCAGCTGCTGCTTCAATTGGGACTCGGTTTGTTCGACGGAAGCGATGGAGGCCTGGACGGCAGGGTCCTCTCTGAAGCCGTTGACTACACTTGTCATTTTTGTGGTGCGCATGTGTGCTGTCCATTTGCAGTAACACTGTCCACACGTGGCGTCCGACCTCATCACCGAGCAAGATCGCAGGCCCTGCTCGCTGACCACGTCGAAGCTGCCAGTACTCTCATGACACGGCACGTGGCAGATCGTACGATAATGATACTGTGCCTGTCCATCGAGCATGATGGTGTCTGTGCAGCCGGGGCTAGTGCAGACGATCATCGGCTCCCGAGCATCCTGGTGATCCACGTAGGCAAACTGCTGCCGCGGCTTGTTTTTCATGTCGGAGAGCTTCGTCGTCGTGGACTGGATCTCCATCCTCTTGGCGGCCATGAGCTTCAGGTGAAGCTGCAGCTGGCCGTTGATCTCTCCCAGCGGCTCGGCCAGCTGCAGCACGCGACGGCGGGCTTGGTTGAGCGCCACCGTGTCCTGCACCTTGTGTGGATGACGACGCAAGATGAAGTCCATGAGGCGATGGCACTCTGCCGAAGATATCTCCCAGCTCTTACGGTAATCCTTCAGGTCTTTGTCTGTGAACCGCACCCCATGCTTGAGTGCAGCTAGGAAGCGGAAGGAATCGCTGTCGAGGCAGTACATGGTCGAGCGATCGACCTGGATGTCCACGTGAGGAGGGGACTTGCGGATGTTGCCCAGCATCTCCGTCAGCACGGGCATGGTCTCGCCTGGCTTGTAAAAGGTGGACCGGGCGTTGGTGAAGACGAAGGCGATGTTGCCCTTGGCACTGCTGTGGAGATGGGACAGCAGCTCCATGACACAGAAGCGGAACATCACGTTCAGCCGCGAGCAGTTGGGCTTCAGGAGGATGCAGATGCCATGGAGGCTCCGATGACACCGTAGAAACCGCAGCAGGTTGTCGAAGTTGATCCTGTCTCTCTCGATCCCTCTTGTGTCGCCGATTCCCTGCGTGTCTATCAGACGCACCTTGTAATCGCCATAGCCAAACACGTACGCCTTGCAAGATTGCGTGGAGGAGTCGCCTCGGCCCGTTGCCGCCGCCTCATTGCCGCCGTCCTGCCGCTCGCCCACAGTCACCTCCAAGCTTCTGAAGTTGTCGCTGTCCTCACACCACGTGAATTTGGAAGGTATCAAGGCAACGAGGTCCTCCGCGGCGTCGTCCATGGCCCGGTGGCGGAGGTAGTTAGCGAAGCCATTGATGAAGGTCGATTTGCCGACGCCGCTCTCTCCCAGCAACAGAATGTTGACTTCCTGGTCGTTGGACATCACGGCGCCCACTTGCTCTGCCAAGTCAGCTTCCGGCCTGTCAAACCTGACGTATTGGCTGGTAGTGTGTCTGGGATCGCGACAAAGGAAGCTCAGCGACCGCACGGGAGCCCGACCGCAATCGCAGTACACGTAGCCGTCGGAGCAGTACTCCATCTGAGCGGCGCATCTTTCGCAGAACCAGTCTCTGGCGCATCCTTCGCACAACCGGTCTCTTTCTGTAGGAAGACGTCGCCTGGAGTCCGAACCTGGACATATAGTCCGAACAAATGCGGTCGTGGCAGGGCGGTCCACATTGCTCGTGAAAGACACATGATGATCGAGTTCCATCTCGTTTGACCTGACGATGCACAGCCTCCCCACGCGGGCCATGTGCGCTGCCACGTCATCGACAAGTAGGCAGCCGGCGCTGAAAAACTTAATCGTTGTTTGCGGACGACCGGCACCTCCTCCTCCTCCTCCTCCTCCTCCTTCCCCTCCTCCTTCTGCTGCCGTTATAGGTCCAACAACGGGACCATTGTTGGTGCTGCCACCACGTCCACAATCGCTGCGGCAACTGCTGTGGACCGAGGACATGGTGTCCCTCGACGTCGTGCCTTCGGTGGCCGTCATCCGCGTCGCTATCGAGCTTGCCGACGACGTTGCTGCTGACCCTGTGAACGACCCTGCTGCCGAGCCTGTTTCTTCGGGCACCTGGACGTAGAAGAAACTTTCAGGAGAAGAATCTGACACTTCCAGAAAGTAGAAGAAGCATCGAGAACCCTCGCCGGCTGGACCAACGGCGGTGGCATCAGTAGGAGCTGCGCCAGAGCGCTTTAACCCGCTAGGAAGACGGCGGGGACCACCCACTCCTCCTCCTCCTCCACGTTCTCTCTGCCCCCTGCTCTGCTGCCTAAGCCTCAGTCTCTCACATTCGATGCTCACAAGGCTATTCAGAAGGTTCACGTTCCGTTCCCATGACTCGCCCCGTCCCTGGACGCAGTCGTGGACGAAGATGTAAACCGATTGGCCCTTGTGATGAGCAAGAATCTGTCCGATGGCCAGCTCCTCGTTATAAGCACGGTAGAACCTGACACCGTTGCGTTTCAGCGATGTCAAATGGTCTGCCGCTTGTTTGATCGCGCGCAAAACTCCCGCCAATTGTTCCCGCCGCTCTTGGATGCCGCACCTCTCTCGAAGTTTGTGCAGTGCCCGTGTCAACAGGTTCGACGGCGTCGCCGGGCAGGAACGAATCTGTACCGTGGCCTCGGCCACATACCGCCGAAGGTATTCCTTGCCTGCCTTGATTTTCCCCCGCTCGCGATCAAACACGTCGATCTCTTGCTTGATGACGACGGACTCGCCATGAGCTCTGACGGCTAAGGCGAGCTCGCGGGATATGGCGTCGACATCCTTCTGCAGATCTTCCATCTCCTGGAATAACCTCACCGTCTCGCATATGGAGTTGTCGTCGGGATGGACCAGAGGGAGCGGGAGGCGGCGCAGCAGCTGCATCGCCTCATCCAGCGGGGCAGGGGACAACCGCTGTTGATGCCAACGTATGAAGTCCACCAAGGGCGTCAAGCGGATGGCGATCGGGACGGCCAAACCGCGACTGTAGCCGCGGATTCGCGAGACGCGCTCGAGGAGCGCCTTGAGCTCAGGGAGACTGGGGGAGCTGGGTCGGGCTCCTGTCTCCCAAACCAGGTCCGAGAATACTCGAATGGTGATGTCATCGACAATCTCCTCGCCGGCGGCGGCGCCCGCACCGCTGTCCGCGATGACGGGATTGCCATCCAGAGGCAAAGAAGTCGGGATCGCGGTGGACGACACGTCCCTCCTGCTTCTGCTGCTGAGCGTGTCCCAATCTTGGTCCCGACTGCAGATGGAGGAGTGAAGAGAAGTCTCGAGTGACGTCAGCTGGACGTTAAGACCTCGTCGATAGCCGGCGCCGACCCTCTCGCCGCCACCGGGGTGCCAGGATCTGTGCTCAGCTGTCAGGCATCCGTCCGACGGGGACTGCGCCTTCAGCGCAGCCACCAGAGCCATCAGCTTGCCGTCTAGCCGGGCCTTGGCCTGCCGCTGGACCGCGGCGGCCAGAGCAGGGCTCGATCCGTCGACCTGCTGCTGTCCTCCTGGTTGATGGCGGGAAAAGTTTGCCAGCGGACGGCTGAGGATGGAGGCGACTACGGTGGCGCCGAAAACTATGCCGCTGACCACGTGGGTTGCGGGCGCCGCCATCTCCGTCTCCATGCCCTGTAGCTGTCGGGATCCCTGCGCGTCTAGGTTCTGGGGGAAGGAGGAGAAGTCCAGCAGGTGCTCGCTTGAAGTGACTTGGCAGAAGAGAGCCGCCTTGAGGGCTGCTTGCGCAGCAGAGGTGCTCATCGGTCCATCTCTACTTTCCACATCTTGAAGGCACTCGGCAAACGCCTCGGGCTCGAAGAGACCGGCTAAGATGCTCAGCTTTAGTTGAGCCGGATGGACGGCCAAGATCGAGAATCGTGTCTCCAACGAATTATTTCTGTTGTCGTCATCGGAAATGAAGGTGTGCGACACGTCGATCGACGGACGGGATCGGAACAGGCCGCGAGGAAGCACGTTCGGACACGTGGCGAGCGATAGCCTGCCACCTCCCGCACGCGAAATACAGAACCTGTCCCTTCGAATATCGTAGAGGTCACCCAGCTGCGCGGACCGACCGAGCGCACTCATCTCGACGACGCTGTCTGACTCCATACTTCGACGCACATCCATCAGGATCAATTGAAATTAATTGAGCAATAATAATAATAATTATTATAATAATGATCATGCGAATAATTGCTCCTGTGTGATTAAACAACAAAACAAAAAATATACGTTCGTCCAGTCGACTATCCTGCTTAATGCGTTTAACAGAATTTACAAACACTACGGCTGATTTGTGCAGGTCAAATATTATACACATATGTAGTCATAAAGAATGTACGGTTAACACGGTAATGATAAGTTCGAGCAACTCAAACACCTGTAGTATATCTTTCCTACCTTCTTAGTCTATTCAATCAAGTAGAGTCGACAAGAGAGAGAGAGAGAGAGAGAGAGAGAGAGAGAGAGAACTGTAGGATATCTTTCCTACCTACTTAGCCTATCAAATTCACTAGACAAGGCAAGAGCGAGAGACACAGCGAGAGAGAGAGAGAGAGAGAGAGAGAGAGAGAGAGAGAGAGAGAGAGAGAGAGAGAGAGAGAGAGANGCGAGGGAGAGAGAGAGAGAGAGAGAGAGAGAGAGAGAGAGAGAGAGAGAGAGAGAGAGAGAGAGAGAGAGAGAGATCTTAGGTCATACTTACACCACGTGTAGCACCTTTCTGAATAGAATGTAGGGGTGATTCCGCGCAGGCACACCTCGGTGAATTATCAGATTATATGCCCTTCGTCAGTGGCACTGTTGGCCTTCACTTCTTCCATCCAGATATGTCGCCCCTATCTCTGAGAGAATCATGACTACGAATTGTGATGTCAGTTAAGTAGAAACATGATCAGCAGGTTCGCCCTTCGATGATGAATATGAACACAATCTATCACCACGAATAAGCATTTTCGAATCAAGATCAACGATCACGCGCATTCAGTGAAATGACGAGGTCATTATACGCGTAGATTATGAGCCCTTGATTCGAATCAGTAAGATGAGCGATGATGCGCATTAGTTGAGACCATGAGGTCATTCTCCACGTCGATGATTAGCGATTGATATAATCAAATGAAAGGGATGACTTGCACTTAATGTCAAGATCAACGACGACGTGCCATTTAAAAAAAAAAACCGACGAGTCGGACTTGCCCAAAAAAAAAAAACCTCAGTCCCATCAACGTGGTGTCCTGTACTTGCTATCGAGTCCGACGACGAGGTATCGTCGTCAATAATAACTCGATATGATGATTATTCTTCGTGAATGATTAATGCCTTATTCTTAGTTAATCAACCTCTTTCAGGGAATCAAGCTATTTATAGCCTTTTTTTTGCGAATTTAAAGAATCAATTACCATTGTTTTACATAGATTCTGAAACTTGGTCAGATCATCTATGTAGTTATATCTCAATCGCTCTGTATTACTTAGTCAATCTATCATCATCTCTTTCAAAGAAAAGTTAAGACTGAGAAGAGATGAGATGCCATAGATCGGAAATAGCTACAAAATTGCTATCATTTCGAGAGAGAATTACAATATTATTTATTGCTAACAATAATAACAACAATAGTTCTACTGACACGTCAGACGATGTCTATGCTCACTGCGATTGCCATACCGCGTCGCGGCTTCACACTACCACTATCTTAAATGCACCTGACCGCATACGCATCTGGCCGCAATTCCGTCCAGAAATATGTAAGAAAGTGCTACAGTAGTCTGAGTAAGCCCTAAGTGAGTGGGAGATTAATTTTAAAGAAACTGGAACAAAAAATTGAACAAATCTTTCCCTGAGTTAACTGAAGCAAGTGGAAAGCGAATTCATTTCTAAGGGCATACTCAGCTGTGGACGCGGTTGGGGTCAGATTCATCCAGGTCGTGCCGTAATTGCAGTCAGATACATTCGGAAAAAGGGGTAAAAAAGCGAATTCATTTCTAAGGGCATACTCAGAGCAGGACGTTTCGCCTCTGAGCTGTGGACGTGATTGCGGTCAGATTCATCCAGCTCGTGCCGTAATTGCAGTCAGATACATTCGGAAAAAGGGGTAAGAAATCGAATTCATTTCTAAGGGCATACTCCGAGCAGGACGTTTCCCCTCTGAGCGCTGTGGACGTGGTTGCGGTCAGATCCATCCAGGTCGTGCCGTAATTGCAGTCAGATACGTTCGGAAAAAGGGGTTAGTCTCAAAAATAGCGCGTTCGTGGTATTTTCACAGCGTAGTTAGTGGCGGGCCCCAAGTTTCTTTGCAACAATACATCTTTCTCTTCGTTGCAGCATTCTTTGCAACAATACATCTTTTTTTTTTTTTTTTTTTCTTTTTTTTCTACACACAATACATCTTTCTTAGTTGCAGCTTTACTGGTCCCGGCAGTTTCACAGCAAAAGTATTTGCGGCCGGGGTCCCACTTTCGTTGCAAAAATATATATATATCTCGGACCCCGACAACATTTCCGCCGGCTTCCGCTGGGAAACTTCGAAAACGCGCTATTTCTGCAATTACCCCTTCGGAGAAGTGCTCGTGCGAGGATGCCCTAGCAGCAGCAAGAAAACAAAACCTGATTCTTTTGCCGCTGAGCACAATCAAGCATTATTGCGACAACTACCGGGATCACCTCTCGTTTCTTGGGAGCCGCGGCCTGGTCTCTACCCCGTGCTTTTCCTCCTCATTGCTGATACGACACACACAGAGAGAGAGAAGGAAGAGAGAAAAGAAAAAAGAAGTGATACAGGCCTACAAAGACAACCAGCCCACTTGGTACACCCGTGAACTTCACCACAGGACCTCCTCCTCCTCCTCCTCCTCCTCCTCCTCCTCCTCCTCCTTCTTCTTCTTCTTCTTCTTCTTCTTCTTCTTCTTCTACCCTTGATGCTGGCTAGTGGCTATCTCCTTTCAATGGGTTTGCGTGATATCACTTGGCTGTTGTATGTTGCATTCGCGAACATTCTCTATTACTACTCTGGCTGAACTGCTGAAATACAGACCTGAGATCGAATCCAAAAGGAATTAAATGAATCAGGTAAGACAAAAACACGGAAAAAGTGACATGTCTCTGCAGAAAATCAGGTCAGGTCTAAAGAGATGTGTGCTGTATTGTGAGGAGAAGAAGCACTGCGTTGCTAGTAGAGGCGCAGGTCTATAGATATCGATATCATAGCAGGTCGCGTTCGACTGAACACCGTATCGCAGGTCTACTACCTATGGAAAACCATGTCTATAGGGATCTAATCGATATTGTGAAGAAGCTATATATGGGAACTACGAAGCGGAAACGCTGAGTGGGTGGGAACACCATTGCACACACACCTTAACGCCCGCGAATCGCCGCCCGTTTCCCCGTCTCCCACTCTCCCCTCCATCCTCACCGACGAAACGCGCGCAAACACTCAGAGAGTCATCTATCTCTACCGTTGACGTGCGGCTCGAATCAGCACATGCTTTAGTACATATGTCACTTGTCTGAGGGGCGTGCTGACGTGTACTCTTGTGTTCTTCGATACGTGTCACTCTTTACCTCCAAAATACTGACGTCGACCGTAAAACTCCTGAGCGCCAAGTTCCCATCACGGTGCTTTCACGACTGGCGCGGCAGTGTCAATAGCTTTCCACCCCTTCTCTCCCTCCCCTCCATCCTTTCCCCTCGACCCGCGCAAACACACAGGCGGAGTCAATTGTCTGCCGCCCGTACCGTTGACACGCTGCCCGCAACAGCTTGTGCTGTTAGTACACGTGTCAGTTTTCTGAATGCCCGCTGACGTGTGCTCCTCTGTGCCTGTCCCTCGTCCTCTTGTACACGTGTCCCTCCTTCCCTCCCAAGATCGACCCCAACTGTGTGCGACCCCAGCGCGCCTAGGTCCCGTCGCTCTGCCTCCGCGAATGACGCTACTCTGTCAATAGTTCTTCACTCACGGAAGAAGCCGATCAGCACTGCGTTGGACTTTGCCGGGGCAGTTACCTCTCATCGCGGTCTCCTCATGGCGCGAAAAGCCCGCACTGTCGGGATTTGGGAAAAAAAAAAAAAAAAAAAGCCCGCACTTTTTTTTTCTTTTCTTGAGAAGTTGTCACTTTATATGTCCAAACAAAAGTGGTCGAGGCCGGGGACCTCACAATTCTACCCGGTGTTGACAAGGAAAACTGCTGGAAACCGGGTCCAGCGTCCCACGACCACCCAGCCTCAATAGAAGAACTCCTCAAAAAGCCTTGAAGCCCAGAAAAGGTGGCTGAACTAATCATGACAAAACTCTCTATTCCGTCAGCCTAATATATAATATCCTTGCAGCGCAGGAGAGGTTCAACGCCGGCATGTTTCCAAGATCGAAACACTATTGGCAACGAACTACGAATTGTAATCTGCAAATCTCGAAAATGCGGAAGGCAATTCACAACGGTTTTACAGTATTAACCTAAACATATTCCAAAGGCCAACTGTATTATCCCAAATTTCAAACCAAACACTTACAGACTTTAAGCTAGACGTAGTAATATTGTCTCCAATAGATAAACATTGAAAAGCAACCAATCCGAATTCCAAGATTTATGTTCTAAAATCCCTTCCCAATATCTCCTGAATTAACCATAACCAAAATTAGAACCCAACTTAGGGCCTCGCCGCAAGGTGCACGAAACGAAATAAAGAACGAATTCGTTTCGTGAAGCAGTCGCCGCACCCACACGACCTCTGTCAGGAAAAACTCGTGAATGCTGTCAGTCTCCAAGTTCGCGAGCCCTGACGAGCGTGCCGACTCCTCCCTGCCTGCAGCACTCGCGAACTCGTAGGTCCTCCGCTGGTAGGGTGGAGGAGCTGCGAAATCTCACGAGTGTGCTGCATCGCTCCAACCGATGTCCATCCAAAAACTTGGACCGTAGCGTCCACAAATTTGGACCGTAGCGAGGAGAATCCCGCACTACTCTCGCCAGGGCGTTGTCGCGAGAGTTTTCGTGTGTGCTGTGGGGCGGTGAGGCAAAAAACGAAGAGAAAGGGTGGATCAGGGCTTCGCGAGGCCTCGCGACTCTGGTGATCGTTTCGTTTCGTCATTTGAGCCGTGCGGCGAGGCCCTTATTACTAGTATCTAAAGACAATAAGCTATTAACAACAACCAAGAAAGCAGCCACATATAAAAGTCCAAGGAAATTCCCAAAAGGAAGGAAGGGCAAGAGTGACCACGACTAAGACTAAGAAGGTTGAAAAGAAAACTAGCTAGAAT